GGGCTATGTCGTTCCTGCTGTATTTGCACTTCTACAGAGTCCTTATTTGCCCCCACTGCGCACAGGGACTCAGGAGATGAGCCACAGAGACAGAGCCAGAAGGAGAATCAAGGGCACAATTAAGGAAATCTTCCTTTTCCTCCATCCTGATGGACCTACAACCATTTTGCAACCCATCCCCTGAGATAACATCTCCAAGCATCCACACCCTGGCTACCAGCTACAAATAAACATGAGCTAAAACACAGCAGCAAATTTGCCTGCTAAAGTCAAAATAATTTTTACAGTAGCTATGAATAGTAGGATGGCTTTTTTCTTCATGTTCCCTCCACTTGCTTCCTCATTATATTTCCAAATGGGAATGTCCCAGGGTTTATATGCTTGGCCGCGCTGATGTGACTTTCAGTGTTGGAACACAGCCCTGGAAAATAGTCTACGGAAAGATGTGATTTAAACACCGGTGGGTGATGCTATCCACGCAGGAGCATCAACCACATTTCGCTTTGCCGTGGATAGCATTTTTACCTTTTTAATCTGTACTTGCTAGCCTTTAAGGCGACTGCTCAATCCTCATCATCACCAAAAAAAACCCAAAACAAAACAAAAAGAAACACAACCCCCCCAAAAAAAAACCCCTACAAATAGAACATCTGCCAGCAGGAGTGGGCTGGGAAGAAGAGGTGATGGCAACAGCAGGGCAGGCAGGGACCTCACCAAGCAGAAGACTGTGTCGCAGCCCCTGGGCAAGTAGAGCAGAGCGCATCCAATGAAGGCATCCCAGATCAGCCAAAATAGGCCAAAGAAGGAGCCAGGCTGGGGACCTGGGCTTAAATGCATTGGAGGCCATTCCCCAGCAGCATTTCTCCCAGCTGTTTCTCGTCCCCTCCTTCTCCCTGCCGGCTGAGCCCAGGTCGCAGCTGCACCATGCTGGAGATGCCCTCTACCACAGGCAGCCCAACCCCGCAGGGGCAGGAGGGCTGCAGAGCCCGGCGCTGCCCTCAGCGCCCTGGCAGTGTCAGAAAGTGTAAATATTATCATT